CAGATAGCAGCTAAACAGACTTTATGCCGAAGTACCTCCAGGTTTAAGAAGTGCTCCATGTTTGTCCAGTAGATGCAAAACATGGCCCTTTATATCAGAAACTCATTATTTTGTAAGCAACTCTACGAATAAAAGGTACCCGATCCAGGAACATTTAACATGTGAACATTCGAATGTAATATATTTAATTTCATGCAAGAAATGCCCCAAACAATATGTAGGAGAAACTAAGAATAATTTACGAACTCGCTTTAATGCTCATAGGTCAGACATCAAATTAAAGAAAGACAAGCCTGTTTCTAATCATTTCAACCTCGACGACCATTCAATAGACGATCTCACCCTAATCCCAATTGAGCGTATAGAAATTGACTTGCCCGAAGATGAAACTACCAAATTCCGTCAATCTAGGGAGGCCCATTGGATTGAGACATTGAATATAGCAAGACCTATAGGACTAAATATTCATCATAATGTAGGCATAGCACCCTTTGTTGTCCCGTTTAATACAACCAGCAATCGAGCAAGCAAGATAATTCATGCCCACTATAAGAGCCTTCAAGAGAAATTCCCCCATGTCTATAAGCAGAAAATGATAGTTGCATATTCAAAAAATAAGAACTTAAATGATAATATTGTTCATAGTAAACTAAAAACAATCAGTACATAACAGGTACTATACTTCTCGCCCATCGGGCGAGTTATTTTTTCTAATTTCAGTTCAGAATAAGAACAGAAGAAAACCCAAAATCAAGACCCTTAATCCTAATTTCTAAATAAAGTGTCTGCTCCACCCTAGGCCTGTACATTTGGGAAAATCAAACCCTCCCTTCCCCGAAATCCATTATCTGTTGATATTTTTATTTGTTTTTTTTTTTCGTTGATATTTCTAATGGAATTGTAAACAGAGAAATACTTTAATCCCAATTCATATTCTTGATTGCTATCGAGTTCGTACTCATAGTCTAGAGATAATTTAATATCTGATTTATTCGAGGTGATGACGAATAGTTGTTCTTTATTTGACATTTTTAATCACGCTTTTATAATCATTTTTATCTATGATACCTTTCTCTAGGAGTCTTTTTAATATACAATTCACTTCATTATATTGTCTGTGCGATCGATGACCTTCTTTCATTGCCGCTAATATCACTCGTAATCTATTAAGCAATTCTTCGTTGTTGTCGGATAAAAACGTTATACCTTCTCCAGATACCATATCTTCGAATTCGTCTATTTCTTGTGTGATTGGTGGATAATCTTCTGCATAATCATCTGATTCAATTACTCTTTTATATATTTTAACTTCTTTCGATCTTCTTGTTTCGGGTCCTGACTTTCTTATTGCATCTAGAAATTTTGAGTATGTTACTAAATCCTTATAATCGGCAATACCAACATCCTCGCCATTCATTAAATCTATTAATCCTTTCGTTAATGTGTATATATAATCTTTTGTATCGATTATAAATTTTGGGGTATTTGCCCTAAATCTTATTCTAAATCCATTAAACCGTAACCCTGCTTCATCAATGATTGGTGAAATGCTCTTTGGTAAATCTGGGTCAGGGTTTGAAAAATAAGTTTTGACATCATCTACTGTCCTAATTATAATACCATGATATCCAATCGCTTTGGGAGGCTCTATAGGAGGTGTAGGTTCTATAGAAGGTTTATATTCTAATTTCCTTTTAATATCCTCTTGAGATTTTAATATGGGTTGAAATAGAGTTTGTAGATTTGTTAATCCGAGTTGTTGTAATCTGTTATTTTCAACTTGGGTCTTTATTTTATTCTTAGCTTTGATATATTCTCTATTTCTATTATTCCAATTTTTAAAGAAATGAAATGTCGATTATAACTCTTTCACCCGCAGGTTTTCTAGTATTTACAAATACATATCCATAATCATCTGGATTTCTCCAAATTTTTTGAATGTATCTCTGTCCATTCCGTGATTTATCGATTGAACGATTTGAGATAAATCTTTGTCGTTTAATTCAAATAATAAAAAACAATTCGCATTTTTTCTAATGAACATAGAATCCATCCCGTAAAAAGATTGGGATTGGTATATGCAGTGACAGTTGTGATGTCTTCCTTTCGTGAAGAATTCTTGTTGAACGGCTTGATTTCTTTGCGCAACGCAGTCGTCAAACACTAGTAAGTTCTTTTGCTCGCTATCAATTTGAGACAAATCTAGATCATTAACATTTTTTGTAAGAAAAACTTTTATATCCGTTGGTTTCTTTCCTTCGATGTAGTTATCTATGAAATCTTTTATTCCACTTCTTCTTCGTTTTCTTCGTAATATTGAAATAGGTCTTGAACATCTCTCTTTGGTAGATATTCTAAAGCTTTGAGAAATTGATAATACGATTGCTCTGGTGTTGTTGTGTAGATATACAAAGAATCGAAATCAAAAAGGTTTGGTGTTGACAACATGTTAAAAGTGAGATGAGTTTTCCCAGAACCGGAACTACCGCATATACACATGAGCATTGGGTTATTAGGAAATATTTGTAAATGATTAAATTTTTTACCCATTTTTTATTATTTTAATTTGTTCCAAAAATAACTCCTTCTCCTTTATACTTCGAAAGATATATTCCTTCTCCAGTGCGTATGTTTTTTAAAAATATTCCATTACCCTTATGTTTGACTTTGATTTCTCCTGTGTCAATACTATCTACTAATTTATTTAATCCTTGTTTAACAGTTTTCTTGGTTTCTTCACTAAATCTTTTTCCAAATTCTTTCATTGTGCCTATCATTTCTCCCACTCCTGAACCTTTCTTTTCCGTTTTAGGTTTTTTAACCTCTACTGCCAACTTTTCAATTTTTAAATTATGTCTATGTTCTTCGGCTGCAGTTAATGCAGCTGCTTTCTTTTCGTTGGCAACGCTTACTCCACCAGCTGTAGCACCAGCTATTGTATCGGCTGCAATAAGTCCACTAAATATTAAAGGTAGGAAAAATATAAATCCACCTTCTTTTGCGTTCGCGTCAATTCTTTCCAAGTCTATATCGTCTCTGACTTTACAATATTTATATTTATCAATAAGTTTTTTAGTTATGCTGATTTTTTTACCATTATAAGTTATTGTAGTTGGTGAAGCTGTTTTTATAGCTTCTATTATTTTCTTGACTAAAGTTTCTGGTTTCATTTTTAAAGGTGTATTTTTTACTCAATTCTTATCATTCTTCTATCTGCTATTTTAATTAAATGTTTTGCTTCTTCCAATAATAAACAATAACCTGTTACATCTCCTTGTGTTTTTTCAATATGAATATTTATGTTCACTCCTGTTTTGAAAAGATCTTCTTGGTGAGCTGATAGATCAAAACAGAAGATTGGATGATTAAGTGCAAAATCTACATATTCAAACTGGGGTAGATTTCCAAATAATTCACACATATTTTTATAGTTTCTATACAATTCATTATAATCCTTTGTGGTTGGATTAATTGTTAAAGGTTGGTTAGGATAATTATCGTTATTTAATCTTACTTGAACTTTATGGATTAAAGGATCTTGAGTTTGGTTCATTGCCACTCTAAAGACATTATTGTTATTCGTTTGAGAATCTGGTAAGTTCTTGAAACCAACCATTAAATATCTTGCTGGTTTAATAGTGTTAGTGATTGGCCATGTGGTGGTTTCTCCAGTTAAAGTCATGCTACCCACCGTATTGCGATGAAGAAAAGCTATTTCAATATCTTTAGTTAACGAGTTGAATATTCTCGTTTCTACTTCAATTGATGGTGTTATTACGGGTATGAAAAGTTGGAGATTCGTTATTTCTAATTTTGCATCTGAACCATTCTCTCAAAAGAATATCTTATCATCGTTGATTTCTCTTAGTAGATGAATTTTATATGGTAACCCTAGGGAAACTTTTCTATGTTCCAACAGACCGATAAAGGATATAATTTCCAATTTACGTAATTACCCCACCTATTATTCTCAACAACATTATTATACTGAAGTACTCGTTTTTCGAATCCATGATTAACTGCTCGTAATACTCTTTCTATCGTGTTTCGAGCAACAACTCTCACTCTAGCTAAATCGGCATCATTTGCAAGATTTCTTACCGGTTCTTTTAAAACACTTCCATCGCCAACATCGGGTATCCAACCTGAGACTGAATCGACATCTTTAGGATATAAAACTGTTTTCAACATTGTGTCGAATTCCCCAGGATTTTTGATTGTTTCTATCGGATTTGAACCAGCTTCCAAAACCATCTTGCTAAATAAAGATGGAAAGAAATTGTTTTCTAACGTTGTATTTGTTTGTGGAACACGATTTTCATTGGGAGTTCCATCTTTCATTTTGAAATCGCATCTGAAATAAGCATCGGAAAGAAGCAACCAATTCGATAATGAATTTATTTCGAAGGTAATTCTACCACCATCATTCAATTGGGATTTAGAACCAACAGTTGGTGAGATGATAATATAATCCTCTTTTTTCTTGTTAAATGAATAACGAATTGGATCGTATAATCTAAAGATTGGATCTAGTATTTTATTTTTTTTTTTAAGGTTTAAAATTTGAGTAGAAAATTTCAAAAAAAGAGTTATTTTAATATGCTTTTTTTTTGATGGAATGTAGGAAATTGATTGGAGATGTTTTTGGTGTATGAAATGTAAGAATTTATGAAATGTAAGGTGTTTTGCTGTAAGAATTTATGAAATGTAGGGAATTTATGAAATGTAGGGAATTTAGGTCTTGTTTTTTTGGGAGTTCATAGATTGGTTGGATTTTTCCCTTGAAATGAAACTACTCGACGGAAGGACGGGCCGACGGACATGGGTGACGACAATATACGCCTCCCATTTCATGTGGGTGGATAAAAGTTTATACCTACCGTACTTATATAGGTTCGGTTGTGGATATGTCTTTAAGGATTGTGGATAGGTCAATAGACACACCAGTATCAGTAAAATTATCACACTCATATCTATATCCTACTGTAATTGACATTTCAATCTCTTAAATTGATTATGATTTTAGTACTTATACTATGTACGATCTAGGTAGCTTAAATCTAAGGGCATACCAGCTATTTGTCTCCAGTTCGTGGCGCCCGTCGGCCCATTCGACGACGATTACGTATACCCGTACTATTAGAGCGTCGTGAAAGGAAACTGACGTGGTAACTGTGCTTTCCTAACGTTTATGAAGATGTCTAGGTAGTAGTTGTCAAATGGTTTCGCAATTTCATGGCAAACTCGATGTGTTCCTGTCTTCCAGATTAGATCGCCATATCTTCGAGGACTATTAACATACAACACAGCCCCTTCAACAATATTAACCGGACTCAACATCCCAATATCCAAGGTATATCTAAAGTATTATCTATTAACAAAAACTTAAAATCTTACCTTTTCATAGAACCTTCGTTTTTTATTTATTCATATTTTCAGTAACGTCACAACTTGAAAAACATCATATTCCAATAATTCTTTTTCTTATTTTTCTTCCAGTCATCAGTCAGTAATGTACAATCCAAAATGTTTTGTGTAAATTTTTATTTATAATGATTAAATAATAAACAACAACCTGTTACTGACGCGTATCTCGTACACAGTATTAATTCATTTTGGTTGCCATAAAGCATTCTGATTTGTTTCTTAAAAATTGTCTAAGTATAAGAGATTTCAGAATTCTGCAAGGATTTCAATAGATGCATCAATCACCTGATGTACATGGCATACTGTTCTAGCAATATCATATTCGATTGAGCTTCGAGTTCAAGACCATGAATTAAATGAGTTCCACCTCTATAACTAAGATATAAGGAAGGTGTCACACGCCTGACAAAGGCGTACTTTCCCCTCTTGGACAAGGTGTCCTTTCGGATTATCCACATTCAGAACATAGTCAAGCAGTATTTATTTGGCCATGCCACCCTCTATTTCCTGGAAATTGATTACATTTGTAGCTACCTAAAAGCTGCTGTACGAGTACCATTTGTTAAGTGCGATTTACTTTTATTGACCATTAATAAATCTACTTAACCCTATTGATTTAATACTGTACACTTTGAACTCTTTAACGAAGCAGGTAAGTTATTTTATTAAATGTGACTTAATCAGAAAATGTGTTTTTGCCATTGGAATAGTTGTAATGAATGAAAAATTATAATTCCTTTTTCCGACTGGTGGATACGAAATTGTTTGTTTTCTGCTACAATATTACGGTAATAAAACCAGATGCGATTTCTGCTCAATCGGAAGTGAATTCCTGATATTATTTGAAGTTGTCAATTATTAATTAGAATATTAATAGCAATTTAGAATACTAACTTATGTCAGTAATAAGAAATGTTAATTGTAATTAATAATTTAGAATATAAATTTAAATTAGATTTTATTTCTATTGTTTTGTTTTCATATTAAGAACATTAATACTCGTTATTATTGTCCGTGGTAAAATGTGTATAGTCATCTTGAAACTTATCAAAACATAGGTCTACACCAGGAAGAATAAGTATTCATATGGACCTTTTTATTCTAGAAACAGAGAAGCGCGACATGAAGGTGATTATATTGATAGCTATCTTAATGTGCTTGACAACGGCACCTGACATGGTGTCAACAAACCCTGTTGCATATGAGAACCTACCAGTGTCAGGTAAGTCAATTTAAAGATATGAATAAGAAAAGAAGTATAGGCATTTTATAGAAGGTAGCACTGATTCGTGGAAAAAATTATCAAACACATTGGATTTTCAACTTTTCGCCACGAATGACCAAAATCTTTAAAAAAAAATTTCCCGCACACGGAATTATTCGCCTTAAGGAGAGGTGGACGATTGAATTCTGCCTGAGCTGATGGCTCGTTTGTGCGCCGGACTTAATGTTCCATGTTGAAGAGTAAAAATGGGTAATAATGAACGACGAAAATTTAAGGCACAAACAAACAATTGCAGATATCAGAAATTAAAGGTCTATTTACTGTTTCAGAAAGAAGTAATATTATGAAAGATGCGATATTGAGCCGACAAAAGCGATGTCCATGTTGTTGTAGCGGTTCCTGTTGTAGTGGAAAATAAAACTAAGTAATGCAGCTGTTGTATTATTTGTTAAGGTCCTACTTCTGTTCTGTCACAATAAAACCTTAAGAAATTGTAGTCTATGGTCGTCATCATTACCATATTGAAATAAATGAAATTTAATCTAACGATCGAAACCGCAAAACGAAACACGAAATCCAAACAACATAATTAATATTGTGTGTCAAGAATTACCCACCGTTGAAAGTTAAAAAGACGACGCGCATATAGTTTTGAGACTCTACATAATAAAATTGACATACATAGTAAAATTCCTAGTTTGGGGTATTTTTGGAAGAATTGTGCGATTTTCGTACATTTCAAGTAATTCCGACAAATTATTTTACAAATGTGCTTTGAGATAACAATTGTAATCAGTTCCCTCCCTTTAACTATTGAAATTGAATAAATTGACTCACTCCACTAATTCATTTGCCATCTCTTCCCATGTTAAAACACGAAATTCAACCGTCTACAACTTTTTCCAGAAATCTCGTTGAAATCTTTCCAATATTTCGAAAGAAAGCCTGACCAATCCTCAATGTCTCCTAAAACATTCAATATATAATGACCAAGTAAGTTTTGAGCTACTAAAATTGAAAGTAGACTACTACCGGTTATACTCATCCGCTAGGGTTTAGCCTTCCGCCTTTAGGTCTCTTATCATCTCACAAAATCTTAAAGATAATGCAATTTCAGACATCAAAATTCCAAATCTAGACGAAAAATTACCTCAAAATATGCAAAAACCCCAAAAGAGAGAGAGAAAGAAGATTTCTAAAAATAGCCTTTACCCAAAAATAGGCATGCAAAAACCCCAAAAGGGAATATAGCCTGGACTACATTACAATCATTTGTATAAAATATTTTAGTGGAGGCTATGGTACACACAAAAAAATTTATTTTGGCCAAAAAATTTTGTACAGGCCAGGAACTGGTCTAAATAGCCCACACGCGGTCACCCATCCAAGTACAAACCGAGCCCGACGTTGCTTAACTTCAGTGATCAGACGAGAACTGGTGTTTTCAACGTGGTATGGCCGTAGACGTTAGACAGCAATGTTTCAGGCGAGTCTTTGGCCATATAATACGATACGGTACACACAGAAAAATTAATTTCGGCCCAAAAATTTTGTCCAGACCAGAAACTGGTCTAAATGGCCCACACGCGATCGAGACTCAGCTTTCCAAGAGTGAAAATGCAAATCCAAGCGTGAAAATAGGTGCAAAAGGGCGTCTTCAGCACTCGGTGTTCCCAGGCGGTCACCCATCCAAGTACTAACCGAGCACGACGTTGCTTAACTTCAGTGATCGGACGAGAACTGGTGTTTTCAACGTGGTATGGCCGTAGACGTACGTTAGACAGCAATGTTTCAGGCGAGTCTTTGGCCATATAATACGCTACGGTACACACAGAAAAATTAATTTCGGCCCAAAAATTTTGTCCAGGCCAGGAACTGGTCTAAATGGCCCACACGCGACCGAGACTCAGCCTTCCAAGAGTGAAAATGCAAATCCAAGCGTGAAAATAGGTGCAAAAGGGCGTCTACAGCACTCGGTGTTCCCAGGCGGTCACCCATCCAAGTACTAACCGAGCCCGACGTTGCTTAACTTCAGTGATCGGACGAGAACTGGTGTTTTCAACGTGGTATGGCCGTAGACGTAAGACAGCAATGTTTCAGGCGAGTCTTTGGCCATATAATACGCTACGGTACACACAGAAAAATTAATTTCAGCCCAAAAATTTTGTCCAGGCCAGGAACTGGTCTAAATGGCCCACGCGATCGAGACTCAGCCTTCCAAGAGTGAAAATGCAAATCCAAGCGTAAAAATAGGTGCAAAAGGGCGTCTACAGCACTCGGTGTTCCCCGGCGGTCACCCATCCAAGTACTAACCGAGCCCGACGTTGCTTAACTTCAGTGATCGGACGAGAACTGTTTTTTTTTTTATCTTGTAAAATTTTTTTACTGACTACATATTTACATTAAAATCATCATTAAAATATCACATATATTTGAATGTTAAAATAGTACAGGAATAATAGATAAATTATAATTATTATAAATCACATATTGCTTCAAAATGAATTAATCTATATTTACATAAACATTATCACCATCCAGTTTAACATAAGGATGTGATAAAAACATGAGAGTGAACTTATGTCCAAAACCTTTCATTTGTAAATAGTACTTTAAATTTTTAATATAATTTATAAACATTCTCTTAAATAAGGTACATACATTAACTATTATACCATTTTTATTGTATAAAGTTCGCCTTCTAATAATACTAATTGTAGCTATTGAAAATACTAAAATAAGAAATACATTATTATTTTCTTTTCTAATAGGATAACCAAAAATCATCCAATATTTAAACTGATCATAAGTAAAACCAGTATTTTGAGAGAAATATTCTAACATATCTTGAATCATATTTAAAAGAGGCTTAATTGATGTACATTTAAAAATCATATGTAGAAGTGTTTCATCTGATAAATCATTACACAATTTACAACAAGGATTATCTAATATGTTAATATTGTACAATTTAAGATTATTCCAAATTATATTATGTACGATTTTAAAATCATTATCTATACATTCAGAACTTTTCATAGATACAGATTTCCATACTTGTTTCCATTCAACATTAAAACCATTACTTTCCCAATGAGAAATACAAGTAGGATCTTTAAAAACATTATCTGTAAA